GGGGTAAGTGTGAGCAACCAATGATATAAAGTTAAGTTGAAATCTGTGCCATAAATGTGCTGGGAAGCGTGTGGCCATGGGGAAAGCGATGTGCAGCTATGCTTGTGGTGTGACTTCAAACGCCTTGGTGTAACTTCACGCGTTCCCGCGTGACCATGCGATGTCGCGACTTCACGCGCCCTTGAGCGACATAAAGCTACCCTTTGTATTTGTTTCTCCGCCAGCCTTCCGAACCCTTAAAGAGAGTTGTCCTTGACTACTGTCACCAGCATTGGGAAGAGTGTTTTGTCGTGGAGCGTTACTGGTATCATAGTTCCGAGAGTCCTATACTTCATCATGTGCCTCACACATTTGCCGTGTGCTCTGCATCTCAGAGATCTGATTATCAGATTGTGGAGCCCACCATGCTCGCCCTGTCCCTTGTGCTGATACGCACAGGTTTGGCTTTGGTTGGGATGCCTGGCACCCGGACACTAAAGACTGCTTAGAGTTCGACAAGCATAGCTATGCTGTTCAGAGGTATAGTCAAAGTCAGAAGTACTGGCGTATTGACAATCATATTCACCACCACCATCATGCCTTCGCCATATCAAAATCCTCACGAGCGTCAAGCTTCACATAATATCCTGTCAGAAGGCCTCGGGGGCATGTGGGTGGCATTCTGTCATCGTTCGTTCCCGGCAGTAGAAGCTACGCGCAGGACTCAGAGGGCTAACCTGAACAAACATGTAGGTATTTTTGCCACGAAAGATGACGCGATGATTGTAATTGCAACCCTGACCCATTTCCCAAAACTCAATCCTCATCGCGTTTCACCACGAGGTCAAGAAGCTGGAGAAAGACAATGTGCGTGTTATCAGCAAGGCATCTGTACATGAGATCTGTATCAAGCGGCTTTACCTGGATATGCACACATGGAATCTTGAAGATGAATATATGATGTATGTATGTATGTATGTATGTATGTATGGATGGATGCATGCATGCATGAATGCATGTATGCATGTACGTGCATGTACAATGTACATACAAACATATAACTGTATGTATATGTGTACAAGGTTCAGGCAATGTATGTTGCAAGCATAGGTGCATGTATGTGTTCATGTTATCATGCACTCATACACCCAGCCCGTTGTTTTCCGAGTCAGCTCTTTCACTCTTGTTGAAGACTGTCCTTTCAAGCATAAATTGCCGATCGAATCTCACATGCATTGAACTCCAAAAGCTTGAGGACCTGCATTCCCTTTCGACCATGCGGAGAAAGCCTCCGTCAAGACACGTTAACACAGCTGACTTGCAAAGCTTGGAGGTATTGCCTGGCACGCTCGCGGCGAAGTGGAACGAGAGTCCTCCACCAGGCTCTGACGACGAGGGCTCCGAGGGGCTCATGGCTTGTGCACCTTAAGACCCACAGCCAGGACTTGAAGGTCTTACGGTGGGGGCATTACATGCAGTTCTGGGAGGCTTCGGGTTGTTTGGGTGCAGCTCTTAATGATGAGATCCTCGTCGAGAGATGTGTTCGTCGAAGCTAGATATGGTGCTGCTCTTAGGCACGCAGAAGAGTGAACCACGGTTGCTTTTGCTGGGAAGGGGCTTGAACAGAGACTGGTGGGACACGAGTCTCTAAACCGAGCTAAGACCTAAACGATGCCAGACGTATCTGAGTGAGGCGCAACCTGCCGCAGCAAAAGTAGCATCTTTCTGGGCTTGGAAGTGGACAGCCACGCCGCCGCCACGACCGCAATACTTCCAGCAACGGCGACAGCAACAACAACACTAACGCGACCAATGTAGCTCGCACACAAGCTGATCAAGGGGTTCTAGCCAGCAGTGAGGGTCAAGGGTCGGGTCGGCTGAATTTGGGTAAGTGCACGACAGAGGGGAGGTGCGGCAGACTATCGGAGCTTGGTAAAGCAGGCGACAAGTTGCGGTTCTCTGGAGATGTCGGACAGGTTGCGAGGTCAGAGCTGGAGACACGCTGGTGAAGGCCTGCCAGAGATCTCTCACACTATGGTCGTTGCTGTTGTGCAATGGTCCTGACTTGCTGTTGTCATAATAGGCCCTTGAAATCCATTGTCACCACATCTTGCGAGTCAGTTTAGATTTCGAGGTACGAAGATGGGAAGTGCCCTTGCTGGTAGGCCGTAGAGCCGTAGGCATTGGTCTAGCGAATTCAACTGTGCAGCCGCATGCTTTGCATTCATGCAAATAGTGCAGCTTTGCCGGAACATGAAGACTCGTGCAATGCCAGAGCAAGTTTCGGGTGGTCACTGATGTTGTCTGCCGACTCGTCTAACGAGCCATTGTCCTTGCTACTGAGATACGATTCCTAGCAACAACGCTCTGGGTTTAAACACTGACCTACGGGTCCGACGGGAAAATCTGAAAAGAAAGAGCCACGAGGACAAACATGCCGTCGGAAAGCTTGTTTGCAGACTCCGCTCATTTCTGGATGAGATAATTAGCTGAGATCAATGCCCATAGAGCAAGTAAGCACGGCTGGATTGCTGCTTGAATTGCCCAGACCAGTGCCCCTCCTGCAGAAGCAAGCCCTTCCTGCAAACCCCTATTGTGCCTGGGCAATGGTTGCCGGCCTGTGCTGTTATAGAACCCATGACACAACCCTAGCAACCCTGAACCCTCAACCTGAAGGTAAATGGGAAACAGGGTCGGATCGAGCTCCTCACGGTCGAGCTCAGCAAGTCACTAGCCTGCACTTTGGCAGACGGGGATGGTCCACGGATAACCACATCCAGGGGATGTTTGCAGAAACAGCGGAATGTAATAGGGGGACGGATGGAAAATACAACCTTCAACTCATCGTGTAATGCCGGAATGAGCTAGGCAGCATAACATTACTGTTCAGCTCTACATAGACATCAGATCCAGCCGTCTCCCAAAACATCATCGACCACAATCTACGGTCCTTCGATTTCGTAGCACTAGGGCTTGATGCTGCGTTTTTCCAAAGTTAATGACATTGATAAAGAGCTTCCTTTGTGTCAGGACGCCTTGTGGTCAATCTCGAAACTCGTGGAGCTAAAGTTTCCTTTTTGGGATATAAGACAGGTGCATATGAGCAGGCCATCATCACCGCCACATCATCATCAACAACAACACTATCGTCATCAACATCACAACAATCTGAATCATTGGAACCATGGTAAAGGCCATCTGATTCATGTTAGTACTACATACTACCAGCAGAAGCCTGACATTGCAGTTCAAAAACATGACGATGAAGCTGAAGAAGCAGAGGGTGATGATGATGATGGTGGTGATGGTGATGGTGATGATGATGATGATGATAACTGTTAACAACGACAATGATGTTGGAGCTTTCGAAGGCTGCTGGACGATGGAGATGATCATTGCTGTGGTCCTCAATGTGGCAATGGTGGCTGTGGTAACGATGATGCTGGCGGTGACGATGCTGATGATGATGTTCACCATCATCATCATCATCATCATCAACATCATCATGCCGATGATGCTGCGAATCATTGTCACGATGGTTGTGAGGGTCATGATGGCCATGACGGCTACAGTACTTTGCTCGTCATGTGTGTTACACGTACTAACGAAACAGGACGTCGGGAAAGTAGCATGAATATCAACAAGCAGCCGTCAGACATGCAGTCGTCCTGTGCAGCCTCCTTGAAGCCTCTTTCTGAGGATGTACGTGGTGTGCGAGTTCCAGCCGCACGAGCCTCGAAATTTAGAAGGACTGTATGGTGGTGGTAGGAGGCATAGTTCGTGTACGTGTACTATGTAGAGTATGCGGACAGCAATCTAGCTACACTGGCGAAGACCCTAGACACTGCTTTCACGCGACGGGCGGGCACCTCTGGGTCAGAGGCCCTCGTCTGCCGAACAGTATGTGTCGGGAATAAAGGTTGGATTTGTTGCTTCAGGTTTTCAACGTGTACCGGTGTTTTGATGATTCTTGAGAGTCTCGGTCGATACATAGATGCACACACTGCCTTGTACGTCAGAGTTTCAACCCCGCCTGAATTTCAATATTATTAACACGCCCTTTGGTGTTTGATCTCTCTCTCTCTCTCTCGCTCGCTCATTGTTACCTATATGTTGTGCCGGTGTAAACAGTATAGATAAGCACACACACTGCCTGTGTGCACAGACATGCAAGTGCTCATGCACATGCATCCATATGTACAAGAACATTCACATGATGCATGCACGTGTGCGTGCGCACGAACAACCAAACAAACAGTTGTGAATGCATACATACAGTGCATTACATGACACGCGCACACACGCAGTCCCACAAAGGTTTCCGGCGCGTGTTCGTTGCTCAAAGCATGCACTTTGGAGTCTCACAGGAGCTGGAGGCAAGCAAGGCGACGAAGCCCCGAAGCCTTCTGCAGCTTGGTCAGAAGATCGCTCGAGCAAGCGTTGCAACAAGGGGAACGGCCATCCAACTAGTAGTTCAAGCAATTCATTGCAAGAGCTGCTTGCCACGACCGTCTTCTTCTGTGGAATTGCTCCCATGTGTCTACTATAAGTGCAGACTGCGCCAAAGTGTCGAAGTTCAGCTTCTTTTGGCGAGTGAACTTTGAATGCTTTATCTATAGATCCTCAAACAGTTTGGCGACACATCGCAGCCGATGATTCCACAAGCGAACAGAAATCGATCGGCAAATTTTCTCAGGCACCGGAACCTGCAGCTCCCGGAGCTGCAACGGCACTGGCGGCACCTGCTGCAGATGCCGGAGCTCCGCTGGCAGTGGCGACACCTGCTGGAGCCGCGGCTGTGACACTGCCCGCTGCAGAAGCTGTAGCTCCGACAGCAGTGGCAATACCGCCTCCTGCGGAAGCTACAGTGGCGATGCCCGCGGCCGGCTCACCTCCGCCAGCGCAGCCCGCTGCGTCGCCCAAACCCGTCCCAGCTCCGGTCACAGAGGCCGACGCTCCAGAACCAGTGCTGGCAAAAGACCAGCCTCCCAGCCCCTCTGCGAAGGACACTTTCAGTTGAGAGTTGAGAGACGGGTGCAACTTGCCTCGAACCATGTCATAATGCCGTCAGCTTGGGCTGCTCTCCGGGTTCTGGTTTTGGAGTCTGTTTTGCATGTCGACTCCAAGCTGGTGACAAGTGTTGAAAAAGCAGACACGGGACAGCTTGCCAGGATCTGCCCCCGATGCCGGACGAAGCTCCGTTACCACCGCAGCTACCGCCGCAGCCGCTTGAGGCCTTCAGGAAGACTGCCCGCGTGAGGGGATTTGCAGCCTGCAGGCTTGTTCGACACACAGGAGTTCTCTCTGCTACCGCTCCTCGACCACTGTGCTTATGAACTGCCGCAAATTGAATCTAAACAGAAGCTCTTGGTGGAGGCCGCGGCTGCGTGTGATGCAGCGCCCAGCGCTTCGAGCTGATGCTCGTCTGAACATGTCACATACAAGTGCAGTGATGAAGTTCAACGTTCGGGTATTCCGAGGGCAAAAAACAACTGCTGCGGCCAATTGCAGTATCTTTCGATAGACTTCGAGCCGCAGATAGGATCACAGGTTCTTGCCTCTTACAGACACCAATACCCGAAGTCGTCCCCAGGCCCTTAAACCGACATCAGTCCGAACATGTAAGCGGCTGTACCCCACGACCATGGGACCGCCGAAATTCGTTGAGTCTTCTTTGATTCTCTCGGTGGCCAACTATTGCCCTGACGGTTCCACCACTCTTCAGCTTGAGCTTTTCTTTCGTCTATGCTGTTTAACAAGGTGTGGAGATCCTGGAAAATCCGTCGGAAACGCCGGTGGCCTGCTCGGATGCACGAAATTTGAGGGGGGGGGTAAGTGTTCTGCTGCGTCTGGGTGTAGCAGAGATTCAGGGGATTCATCGGCAAAGAGCCCAGCGAGGGTTCAGGGAAAGGCTCGACTTCGGGTCGCTTGAACTATGGGCATGTTCTGCACAGCGTTGGGTTCGATGATGGCGAAGCCTTGTTGGTCAACGCCCTTGCTATCATAGATCCTTGCTGGACGATGCCAATGCTGCAGATCTTGAGCTGTCGCACTGGATGCTGCAGTCGACGCCGCATTGACAGAGAGGCAACCCAACACACTACGCGAGGGCGCCCGTGCCCCACGCGGAGCTGAGGGCCGGCAAGCTACTGGTAGTCTGGAACGTACGTAGAGCACTGGACGGACTTGTGAGCCACAATTTTGTGCGCCCACTTCACCCCAGGAGCACCAGAAGGCGGAATTCAAGAGGTTCTCGGCAAGCTGGGATGGCAACCAGCAGATGAATGTGCTGCGAGACAGATGGAGAAGTACTTGGACAAGATCTCTGCTGTGATTTTTCACAACAGTCCTTGACAAAACAACACTAGGCATGCGCACGGTTGCATCGACATGTTGGTGCTCATCGCCACTTCTCTCTGCAGCCACAGGTGCCGTTTGCCAGGCTCGGAATCCGTTGCAAGTTCTTGTTGGTTAGGCATCTTGAGAAAAGACCACGCTGCTACCTCGAGACAAAGCGACCAGACAAAGGCGTGACAGCCGGAGCACAGAAGGCAATGCTCGAGGACTCCCCTCCATTTCCGGTTTGGGCCGGAGCACCAAGTCAGTCGATACATAGGAGCCATTCGAGGGCACAAGCTCTTCGCAACTGGTAATTCGATTAGATGGCTTCCGAGTGGGCAGACAGCAGGCGGACACAATCATCCCTTTGGTGGTCATCAGGTTCGTCGAGACACCACATAGTGAACGTCGCGGGCTTCGGTCGTGCAGCCGTACACCGCAATAGGCAATCAGCAAATGAATAGGAAAGGACTTGCGACTGACGCGTGTCGTCTATCAACTACTACAGGGAGGAAGTGCCGGCCCGCTTTCGTGCCGATTAACGCTTCAATCACTGCATCCTATGACTTGTTGGCCTTCTTTGCTCGCCGACAGGGCCATTTCAAGTATGATCCGCCACTGACGCAACATTCTAGGAAAAGCCAGTCAGTTCAGACAATGGTCAATGATCTGATGTCTGGGACGTGCTGACCCCAAGACATCATGCCACTGTTTCTGCGCAGAACGGAAGAAGGAGAATATGTCGGGAATTTCCGGGAACCGGTGCCTAGAGGCTTTGAAGGAGTTCCGAGAGCACACGTGGGCTCGTTTCTATGCGGCCTTTGCGACGAAGGGCAAGGGCGGCAACGGGCATGATGGAATGCGCCAGGCCCTGAGCACTGCACCTTGGACGTGCACTTCATCTTCTGGGTTGAGCCTTACCCATAGGCTCCATATGATGACCTTATAGGATCCCAAATATGAACCATAAACAGGAACTACTATGGAGCTTATGGGTACTTCTTTGTGCAGGGCCTCGGCTCTGTCAACTGCCTGTGCGCTTGTGCGGCAATTCTCCTGTGAACGCTCAAGAACTTGAGTGTTTTCTGCTTCAAATCGAGATGTCGTGAGCGCTTCGAGCCTTCGCCTTTGGGCCTGTTGAGGAGTAAATGCTTGGCTCAGTGTGGTTGGGAAAAAGTCTGCATCAGTCATGACATGGCACCCGAAAGCGGGCTTCTGCACGGGACTGCAGGAACTGGACCATCCCTCCAACAATTCCGCAGCAGAGCCGGTGCCAGGGCATGTGCTTTTGCGGCAATTTTGAGGCTCTCAGTGTTGCGCTTGAACATTTCGGGGAGGGCTTGGTGGATGCAGGCTTTTGAATTCATGTTAGTGGCTTGGAAGGTGGCAGAACTTCTGCTAAAGGCTGACTCCGGCAAGGACGAAGTTCGATGCGTCTTGCACGACAGAGCGGCAGAAGCATCAGATTGTTATTGTATTGCGTGGCATGATTTGTAATTATTGCCGGGTTATGCTGTGCTGTAACCTCTGTCCCTTGGTGAGTGTGCGTGTGGGTATTTGTTTCTGTGTGTATGTGGGGATGTTGGTGTGAAGCCTTCAACCCGAAGTTGGCGCCTTGTTTGCAGTCGCTTGCGGCCCCTTTTGGCTCGTATTTTTAGAACAATTCCGCATTTCATGGTCAAAGTTGTTGCATCAAAAGGGCTGCATGTTTTGGCGGACAGCTACTTCAGCATGCCGTGTGTCTCGGATCGGGCTTCGAATTTCGGGCAAAACTCCTCGAGCTTCCCTCCATTAGCGTATAAACCTACAACACCGAATATCAACGTGTTGAGCCTGAATTCACTGGGCCTTCGGGCCTTCGTCCGGTCCACAAGTCGAGCGGCCAGGCTGACAATGCGGAGATTGCGGAGCCCAAAGAGGCCCTGAGGCCGGGGCAGCTTTCAAGCTGAGAGGAATCCGAGATTCGGGAGCCAGTTTCGGTCCGATGAGAGTTAGAGGGCTCTGATGATCTTCCTTATGGATATGTGTGCGGTTTCAGACTTGGGTGCCAGATTGGTGAAGATTCCACCTTGCCGAACAGAGAGTTCTGATGCACAAATCGGAACCGAGAGACCATTTCTGGGAGGATGAAAGCATTGTAAACTCTGAAGGCCACCACGCAACAAGCATCTCTGTTCACGAGGTTGAACCGTCGTGCACCCTTGTACGGAGCATCTCCCAACAGCCTGAACTTTCTATATTCATCCTAAACTCCGAAGCCAAAGTGTGCAGGGAGCCGGCAAACGCGGAGGCCGAGGCACACTGACATGGACGGGGACGAATGGTTCTCAGTCCCAGGAAAGTAGAACCTAGAGAGTGCCTTCACAGGCATGCTCCCCTTCGTATTCCGACAGTTTAGGCCTTAAGGCGTTGAGGCTTAGGCTGTGAGCTTCAAAGAGCTTTGCCATCTCTTCGGACTCACCAGAAGAAGTCACTGTTGGAAGGCGAAGAACGAGAAGCCGCCGGCAGAGACGACGGAAAGCTTGCGACTCAGTAGTTGTGGGGTTGCAGGTTTCAGTGGTGCGACACTGGAATGCAGGATAGGCTGACATGATGGATGAACAGCGAGCTTAAGCGTGATTTCAGCATGGCTTGTTGCTTCAATCATGATCTCGTCAAGCCTCAACAACCTGATTCATTTTCCTATGCCAACACAATTCCGCCGTCGGTAGGACATAGATTCGGCCAGATAGCGTCGGTGCGATTTTGAAGGTCTGAAATCGAAACTGGCAAAGGCTGAAAATGCAGCACAATCAAGGGCTGATCTCGCTCTGGTGTTGCCCTTCCGCAAACCGTTGACCTGTCACACGCCTTCTGCACATGAGATTTTTTGTTATGAACTAGCAGTTGATTGATCATCATCCCCGAAAACCGTAGCCCCGAAGCATTTCCAGCCTCAGGTTTCTACGTCGTCGTGTTGCAGCGCGGGGCGACTTCCGAGAAGTGGGGCTTCCAATGGGATCGCCAGGCGACCATGGGCCTCGGGTTGACATTGGGGCCTGGATGTTGTGTAATCATGACCGTTAACCTCGTCAGTTGGGCAAAGCCCCGTGTTCTCAATCTGAAGGATCCTATAGTACAAGTAGGGTTTCGCTTTTGAGGACAGGGTGCAGGGAGTTGTTCACTGGCCGGAGGGGGGCTATGTAGAACTGCCCGACGACATTAAACAACCCGGGCTCCTGCGCTTACTTTGCGGGACGAGCTGTTTCGGGAAGGGGCCGATGGGCCTGGGCACCTTGCTGGCGTTGCCTGCGTGTCTTCCACAGCTTGTGCTTCCGCAAGCTGCATGTGTCAGGCAGGAAAAGAACTGGAACCGTTTGATCTAAACTGGCATGGCTGCTCCATCCAGCTCATCACCGTACACTCGAAGAAATGGCCTCCTGCTGACATTACAGTTTCTCCCAAGTCACTTTGCAGGCGATGGACACACTGAATGTCAAGGTGATCGAGGGCGTGCTTGCCTCAACTTCTTGCGAGTTCACAACGCATGTGTATATGTATATATATATATATCTCTCTCTCTCTCTCTCTCTCGCTCTCTCTCTCTCGCTCTCTCTCTCTCGCTCTCTCGCTCNNTCTCTCTCTCTCTCTGTCTCTCTTTGACAGTTTTGGGGATCGAGATCTTGGCCATGAGCTCAGAACCCAGAGTAGACCTGTGATTTGCAACTCCAGGCCCAATGGTCTTTCAGGAAAGCCTAGAATCTGGAATCCGAACCCCTGAGCAGCTCTGAAAAAGAGCTGGAGCCAGAAAGCCTCTCCGAATTCGCCCAGATCGCTCCCAACTCCTTGGCCTCGGATTGGAACCGGCGCTTCCCGGACCGCGCGGCCCGGAAGGGGGACCAGCTGACGAAGGCACCGGGTGGAGGTTTGGGAAGTCCAGGATGCTGCCACACACAACTCGGCGAAGCCTGCGCGAACGCCATTTCGGCCCTTCTCATGAGGTTCTGCGGCTTCACTTTGTGAGGCGTTTGTAGTTTCAGCAAGCGAGAATCTCAGCCGAGGCAGCCCCACAAGCACGGTACCGCCGGACAAACTACACTATTCACAAGCACACAGCCGTCCCTTCGGATCAAGGAAGATTCAAACTTGTGTGCGATGCCCAACCTGAAACCCGAATGTCACCGCCCTACACCCGCAGCCCTAAACTGCCTAAACCCGGAGCCCCGGCGGTCTAACAGTCATTTTAAGTCCAATTCAACTAAGACGGCTGTAACTTGGGAAAAGCTTGAAACCCGGAGGTCAACGGCCTTCGCGATCCAGCAGGGATGGCAGCTGAGATGAAGCCGGGCCCCCAGTCGATGGCCGAGAGGTAAGACGGTGTAGCCTTGTGTCATGTTCGAAGCTTTCTGGGTTTAGGGGTTGAAGTATGTCTGGTATTAGTTTGGGCTGAGTAGTTGCAAAGTTTTAGGCGCCAGGTTCACAGGCATTATCGCATAAATCATAAGCTCTAGGCTTAGAAGAGTTCGTTGGCTAGTGATGACGGGGAAAGTGGCTGGTTCAAGTTCAAGTATTCATGCTTTCATTACAGAGCCCCGGATGGTAGGGGCAAGCACAGCATTGGGACAGTGGCTTAGGAGACCGGCTATATCCACGGAAGGCGTTGTTATGAAAAAGCGCATTACCACTTTTACAGTCGGATCGGAGAGATGTTGCTTGTAAAGCGATGACCCGACGACCAATGAGCTGCCCAGTTCTCCGGAAGTTCAGTGGTCATCCCGGTTTTGGGTTTAGGGTTTAGGCTTTAATACTCCTGCCAAGGAAAAACCAGGTCACCTGCGAGTTCCGATCTGCCCTGGTCTCAATGGAGTGGGTGCTGGCGTGTAGGGCCTCCTGGGACCGAGTGTTCAGTGCATCCTACGTTATATTGCATTATATGTTAATGTTATATCCTTTTTGCTCATATTGTATTAGACTTTACCCGAAGAATAGTACAATGTACACTATATGTTAATGTTATATCCTCTTTCTCATATTGTATTAGACTTTACCCGAAGAATAGTACTGTGTAGCACTTCCAGAGAGGCGTCTCTTCTGCGGTAGAGACTCCCCCCGCCCCAGGCGCAGCCTCGCGATGGGGAGGCAAAGGCGCCCACTGGGGCACGCATCAACTGAATCAACTCCTCACATTACAAATGTAGGGGCCTTTGAATAATTAGTTACCAGCACTGGTTGAGGGGGGCTCCGTGTTATAAGTAGATATTAGTAGACTTATACCCCGAAACCCTACTCCAAGCATTGAGGCCCCGATGTTACGTGCGTGTATGTACATTAATGTACCTGTCAGAACTCAGTGGATTGACGGCTATACCCACGGGTTGCCTATGCGCTTGCCTATCGGGTCAGGTTCCGGTTCCGGAGCTACGACCCAAACCGGAGCTGACGCCTTTGAAACTGCCGTCCGGGCCACGGTAACCCCATGTACCCCCGATGGTAGCGTCTAGCAACCTATAGAAGGCATAGTCGGGATTAATGATGTTTGGGTTCGCTTGAGCTTTGGAGCTTGTGTCATGGTGAGATATCTTTCGATGAGGTTCGCAGGATTTCAGCCCAGGGGAGATCCCAAGGCCTCAAGAATTCCAGCTCAGGGCCTCGGCGCTCCAGCGGCCTGGCCCGGTTCCAAGTATTGCATGCAGGGTGGGGCTTTGGTTCAGGGTCTTAGGGTTTAGATCTTAGGGTCCAGAGTCTAGGGTCTTAAGGTTTAGGATTTGGGGGTTCCTGCATGTTGTTCAGCGGCTGTTGGGATTTCCGGTCTAGTCTAGTCTAGCTCGGATCGAGTTTGCGCGCAGGCCTCAAAGGTGAAGCAACAAACTCCATTGAACCTCGAGAATGCGCTTAGCCAGCCTACTGAAGAGCTTGCGTGAGATCTCGCCTTCCTGTATGTCGAGGTGTGGCTGTGGCCTCTGGCTGACTTTACCACCAGGTGCTGTGACGGTTGGATCTTCAAAGACTCGGCTCTGCCTTTCTAGGTTTGCTTGAGCTGAAGTCAAGAAATGCCCCATGAACCTGAAGGAAGCAGGTTGCCGGTAGCGCAGCGGCGTCTCTGAGAGCTGCTGCATGCACGACGAAGAGCTCAGTTTCCGTCCTCCCCCCTAAGCCCGAAACCCTAGCAGCGTGGGCACGATTCCTGTCACCAATGGAATTTTCCACCGCTCCTCCCAGAACTGGGAAGCTGCAAGCCCGGTGGAAGGCTCAAAGAAGGAGGCTCTGAGATGGGACATCCTTGCACGGAAGGTCAGAGGGTGTTCCGCATCTTTGCCTGCAAGGCTTCAATCGTGAGCAGCCTGCTGTCCCTATTGGCTCAGCTTGACTTAGGACGCAAATGGCATGCCACAATTGTCGACATGACCAAGGTATGCATGGCAGCATCGCTCCAACCCCAGACCTGTTGTAGGTAGACTCACTGGAAACCGCCTGCAGCCGTCAGTATCCACCATCACTAGCAGTGACCAAAAAGCTCCCTCGCGATCAGGGGTAGGAAGCATCACCTCTACGAACTCACCTTCGAAGCCTGCAACCTTCTCGACGCACTTCCGAGCGCAAGAATCGGGCAAGCATCGGAGAAGTAGGCTCCGACGGTTATGGGTGCAGCCTCACCCGCTCCCGTGCAAAGCAGGTCCCGAAATAGCATGACGTATAGTGTAGGGCTCTTGACTTGACCGTCTACGGCAAGCTTTCGGATTTCGTGTTGGGCTGCAACTGATGCGATGGATGAGGCAGTAGCAGAACCAGAACTGCAGACCTCTTAACTTCTTTGGTGATGCAATCCATCTGCGACTAGTCCCGGCTGAGTGACTCTGGTACACTGACCGAGAAGCATCCCGCAGAATACCCGAGCAGTTGCATTCCTTAGGGGACCCCGAGCTGGCTGCGCAACTGGATCGACTAAAGTGCCAGGGAAAGCTGACTTTCGATTTTGCCCCTTCGCCGCCCAGTTCCAGACCCACCAGGGGCCCAGAAAGGCTGAAAAGGTGTCGGATGTACAGTTTTCGTTGGTGAAAGCTCTCTTTGAAGTCTTCGGCTTCCATGCCGCGAAACCGCCCTTCAAGTCAGTGCCGCATTGAAAGTCGCCATCTCCGGACGTTGGGATAAGCAGGCCTGCGGAGCCCTTGACTTGGGAGCGTGAAGAGAGCCAAGGAAGCCCTTCGAAGCCCCATTCCTGCGGCAGGAGCCCTATGCCTTGCCAAGAGGATTTCGATGCCTATATGTGCTCTGGCTGCGATGGCCCAGATTACAGGCTTTTCACACATGAGTCAGGACAAGGTAATGTGTATAGTAACCAAAGGAGTGGTTTTTTCATCGTTTGGCGCTATAGCCGAAAGGAGCCACAACACCCGTCATTCAGCCGGCTCCAAGAAACGTCTAAGCTACGTCCGACCTACATGCACAATGCGTGCTCATCGAACCTCACTTAGCTTGGTGCAGTATCGTGCTCTTCCGAAGTGAAGCCCGTTCCACTTTTTCCAAGTGGCCTTCAGACATATGACGCCGCAGCTTCGGCTAACCGGGTTAAGCCGACCACGTGCATGGCTTTCGAGCCCCTTATTTCCCCAAGCACCACATGATCTGCTTTCCGGATTCCGGACATGGAATCCTTATGAATCCTTGGCCTAAGCCCCAAACCCAAGCGCGAATCTGATGTTGTTGCGCTTGCGGATGCTCGAAGCTAAGGCCGCTATAAGGATGACAGTTATAACTGTTCTCCAGTAGATAACCAGACCTGCATCTTGCATGTCAAAGGTACTTGGGCTACCACACCCTGGTTTTGCAAAAATTAAGAGCGGTCTAGCCGGGTGCTGTTTGTCGTTCCCACTTCGCTAAGGAAGTGTTGCAAAGACTTTGTCGCCACCTGAGACACCAGGATACGGCAGGCTACGCACAGTCCTCTGGCTCGGCATGGAAAGGTTAGCAGTGCTTATTGTACATGGCGGCAAGAGAAAATGATGCTCAAGCTGTGGTTGGGCCGATGTCCTGAGCTGGTTCTACGTTCGGCTTGGGATGTTTCCGTGACCGAAGGCAGAGATACAGCTTGGCTTATGTACCATGCGCCACATATCACTGTGTGTGCTACAGAGGGTGGAACCCAAAATGCACGCACTGCAGCTTGTGATACTAAGGGAAACACACAAGACATGGTGGACTGCGAGACCATCACCTACAAGTTCTGCACACAGTGGGGCGGGGAGGTCCATGCTCGAGCAATTCTGCTGACAATGCGATCAGCACCAAGATCAACTCTGTCAAGGCAGTTAGGTTCCCTTTCGGCTTGATTTGGGACGGGTGCTTCAAGGCCGAAGTCTTAGGTCTTAGGTCAGCAGCAATGCAGCAGAGTGCAGGTAAGCAGCCATAGCAGCGGAGCACACGCCAAGAGTAAACCGGGGATGTGATGCGTAGCCTTGGTAAGTCGCCTCGCTGTAAGTACTTGAACCTTCAAGCTGATCCCGGAAGCCTCATGCAGACAGCGAATGACATGAATGCAAAGTGAAAGATTGTCTTTGACTGCTGTTTGGCTTCCGTTCAACCTAGGGACCTAGGGCATTCAAAGGTTGGTGATGCCGTTTAGCTACATACAGCAGCAAGAACTCTGATTGAAAGATCACCCCCTTTTCCAGTTAGTCTTTGTCGGTTGGTTACAGCAGCCCGAGGTTTCGACAATGTATGGAGAAGCAGATGGCCCCAAGCCCCGGGCAAAGCACAGAGGTGTGGTGCATTGCTACTGCTGCTACTCCTCCTGCTGCTGCTTGCCGCTGCTGCTGCTGCTGCTGCTGCTGCTACTGCTGTTACTGCTGTTACTGCTGCTACTGCTACTGCTGCCACTACTGTTACTACTCCTACTCCTACTCCT